GGATCTATAATATATGAATTTGTTAGGCCAATTCCTTATGAGGAGGGACACCTTACTACATTATTTATATGTACATGTACAGATCGAGTAATGAGTATTCATCCTAAAATACAAAGCTAATAATATACGTTTAATCTAATTTTTTTCCCAAATATATTATTGTCATATTTCTTATTTTGCTTTATGTGATGCACCATAAATCCAAACATGGAAAAACCTTTAAAACAAGAGTAGAACACTCAAAGTCCTACCAAAAAAAAAAGAGTAGAACACTCAAACCGACGTCGTAGATTATTTTGTTATGAACATTATCATATTTCTTTATTGAAATAATCCTGTTTACAAATATAATAACAAATGAACATACATATGATCGTCTGTTTACAACGTACTCCCCGTTTTTCTGGAAGGTCTACTTAGATATTGGGTTTGTTGATCGAAACTAAGGCTTCTGCAAGAGTTTAAATAGCTTTACAAAAAAATTCTGAAAGACATATATATTAGGTTAGCTACACAACAAGAAGAAACTATAAAGTTTCTCAGAAGTTTTATATATGCCGCCAACTTCGACTTCACCATCATTCTCCTGTGTATGAAACTAAATGAATGTCTAGTGACTATAGTGGTCGGTTATATGGGAAAAGACGTATAAAAAATTACAATAGATTTATATTATAGACAACAATTTATATATTATTACCAAATTTTATTATGGCATGCAGCCATGCACATTAATTAGAATATGACTGATGGAGAAAACAATATTATGAGAACAAAAAAAAGGTGTAAAGTCGTGTGAAGACACATGTAAATGTATAGTTTGGTAGAAACTGATGAAAGATAAACTTAACTATTAGAGTTAGGTCTGAATAGTGTTTCCAACTTACGACTAAAAACGACATGAAAACTCTTGTTTTTTTTTTTCGGGTTTTAGTGAACCGAGTAACAGTAAACCACTTTTAATATTTTTGTGTCACTTTGTTTTTCTAATTAATTAAGTAATATATTGATTTGATATCAAGTTATCAACCACCAAATTGGCCCTTACCTAGTACAATACACTCCTGAATATGTAACATATTTAATATTTGTGTATTGTAAAGTATATTATATATGTTATCAAAGCCAACAACACAATGTTCGTTTGTATTTTAAGTGTGACATGTTAGAAATTTATATATCAGGTATTACATATCTATAGGTCAACCACCAAATTGACCTTTAGCTAGTCGGCTACTCCAACACATTCTAGAATATGTAACATAGTTATTATTTTATATGTAAAGACAAATTAACAGTAACAAAAAATTTGATTTGTTAACGAATTGTGCTAATATCATTGGATATAATATATGTTAGATTAGAATTTATATACTAGTTTTAAATTTTAAAGTTATACAAAATTTATATCAGAAGTGTGTAGATTTTTTAAAAATAGAAATCAGATCTAAATGTATTAGTGTTTTTCTTTTATGAAAAATATTAAGTAAAAGAGAATTGTTTGAGAATATGATCGATCACGTCCCAGATGATATCTTCTCCACTGTTGTGCTATAATTCATACATTATAGGTGGTGAGTTGCAACAGGAAAGATCATGTTATTTCATACTTTATAAATTACAAATTACTATATATTTGACACATATCTTCGTTTGTTCTAATGTTAAGTTTGTAATGGGTAAAAAAAAAGAAAAAAAGTTTGTAATGGGTGATTTCCAAGATTTGCCACGAACGGAACGTCTTTGCTTTTGCTTATTTAAATGAGAATATCTGATCGGTAATTGTACTTTTACTTTCTATGAGTTCTTTGGTGGGGATGCAACAAAATATATATTATCTTACGTATAAACTATAACTAAATGTTGACAAATAAAATATATAATGAATTAGGAAAATACTTGATTGATTTAGCTTGTTCCTAGTGGATGGATACATTTTTGTCCATTTTATGGTACACACTAAGCTCTTTGTCATTTCCAACTAAGTTTTGATCCTTAGTACCAAAGTCTCTCGATGTAACGTCAAAATCTTAAGCATTTTACTTGAATAAGTTACTTTATCAAAAAGTCCACAAATTAGTGCCATTCTCTTATATAGTATTGTTGATTTGGACTCTACTTTTCTATAATACCTTTTGAAATATAATTAATAACAAACTTTCTACGATGAATTTACAGTTTTTTTTTTGTTTTTTTTTTTAAGTGTTTTGTGTTTATGTTGTGCAATATTAATTTGAAACGGAAAATACCTAAATACCTAAGTGGGAGATGTGAGACTGAGAGACCCAATGGGGGAAAAAAAACATATATAAGGGACACACAGTTATCGGGCTAGTAATGATCCATCGAAGCCCATTAAAAGCTCATTCTCCACTAACTGCGAGAAAGAAATATATGTAGACTTTACACATCACCGAGATGACCAAAAGACGGCAAAAGAATAAACAAAACTAAATAGTTTTTTTTTTTTTTTTTTTTTTTTTTTTTTTTTTTTTTTAATAAACCCTATCGGCTGATCCGGTCAGCCTCGGTAGAAACGCACCGAATTGCGTCAGAGTGGACTTCTCCCCGAAGGACCACCACACTGTCTATCCCGAGTTTGGAATGCTTTCCGACTAATGCCAGGGGATAGTCAGGCCGCCTGCATTTCTGACTACCAGGTAAACCAACTGGGCCTTGACCCAATTGACAGACTTCCCACACAACCATAATTTTTGTTTACAGGGTGGATCGAACCTGGGTCAAAACTAAATAGTTGCATTCAGTGGAAATGTGTTTTTTTTTTATGTTTTCAAAAATTACTTCTTTGTCAAATCATCCTCCTTTGGAAATAAAATTTGAATATTTCACTTTCTCTATTGTTTTACTATATGATTATCCTTTTTGTAGAAAAGGTTGATTAGAAAGAAAAAAAAAAAGTTCAACGTGATTATTACTTTCACCAATCATTTGTGCACTTTATCTCATGGCCTCATGGGGGTAAGAGGTTGAATGGGTTTTAGTATCTCTGTCAGGATCCAATCCGGCGACGGCATAGTATCTCTGTCATCCTCTTTTGTATGTTGGACTCTTGTTGTTTCTCCAAGTCTTGGCCCATTTTGGGAAGGCCTATTCAATAAAAGTGTTTGTTCTAAAAAAAACTGCATGTTTTACATGTTCGTATAATATCGTCAATATGGGCCTCCGGGGGAAAATTGGGTTTTAGATAGGCTAGTTTGAAAAGAACCCATATATTTAAAAGTTTTGTTGTTGAAATTGTTGTTAGAGAATTTTCTCTGAACTGATCCCTGCCAGAGTGCTAGGAACAAGTGATCTCTGAACTGAAAATCACAACTTATAAAATATTGTCGTTGGACTTGTTGTTTCTCTCTTATTGGATGTGAGGTTATTTGTATTTAGAATCAAGATTAGTCTCGTTAATTTTGTAATTGGTCAAAATGTATTAAGACTTAAGTTGTCAACTAAAAATCATTGAATTGTGCTTTTTTTTTTGGTAAGTTGGTTAAACTAAATCGAAGTAAAAAACTAACTGAAGAAGGATATGACCAAAAAAAAAAAAGGACACAGGTACTCAGGCTGGATAGCTTTTCTATTCAACATCACAATTCACACACGTCAATGAACAACAATAATGGTGTTAGGGAATTCAATGCAATGCCATATAAAAATAACAAACAACTTGTACACTAGATAACATGGTTGAAAAATGGAGTGTGAACATAATCTTTGGTGGGGGATCCTTTTGTTTTGTTTTGGTGTTGTGTGCCTTTCAAACTTTTCCATCTTTATGCTTCCTTTGCGTAATTTGTAATCCTCCTCTTTTTCCTACTTTTATATACATACCAAAATAAAATATATAGATTCCTTTGTAAAACTATTTTGAAATGTTATATATAAATACTTCTTTAGAAGAAGAAAAAAAACACACGAAGAAATCGATCAAATTGCTTCTGACTTTGTCATTTTCTACTTCACTACTACAGTGACATCGAAATATTATTTGGGGGTTTTTTTTTTGTAGATTGTTTTTGATATTACAAAATCTAATATTTGTGTTATTATTGTTTTGAACTTTTTATATAAGTGAATCGATGATATTAGAAGATTGCTTCACGAAAAGTTACTGCAAGGCCGGCCACATCTACCAACACGCCAACCAACCAAGCTTTTCACCATTTCTGAATAGTAACGGACACCGTACCTACAAAATATATATATTGCTTGATAATGATGTCTTACGGAGTTGAGAACATGTGAAAACTGAGAAAGATCCAAAAACACAGAAACAAAAACTAAGGTGGCGTGTTAGCGAACGAGCATTTATCGTGTAAAATGCGTTACAACAACACAAAACTCTCATAGTTGCAACATTCCTACGTATGAACAAAAAATTTAGTGAAACAAAACCGTTTCTGACTGCTGCCACCTGTTTTATATTATGACTAGAAACGTTACATGCATACTTTATCTTATGAATAATACACATATTCGAATTTCAAAGTATATGTTGATATTTTAATAATATTCGGAACTATCATTTTGGATTTATAGATTATGTGAAACAATTAATTAATTATTCAAAAAAAAAACACACTTAATTATGATTTTGGCAAACGTTATTAGTAGATATTATATGCTATCATGCGCTGGTATACTTGTATGATCAATCCGTCTATATAAACATAATTTATTTAGGGGTTACGTAAATTTATCAATCAAACTCAACCTTTTGGATTTATCTTTGACGAATGAGAGACGGGCCTGACAGATTACGAAAACGTTAAAATCTATGACGAGACTCGAGAGACGTGCTTCATTTGAATTGTAGGTTGTAAATACGTTGACAACTTCAACAGCTCTAATCTCTTTTAAGTCATTAAGATTACATGTTCCAACACATTCATCTTCTTCGACGCCACATGGTTTTATCTCGGTTAATATGGGTTAACACGGCTAATCGTGTTGTAAAATAAGTTGATAGCATTATGCATATATACAAATAAGAGAATCATAATAGACGATTTCAATTACATGCAGTACAAAAAACTAAAGTAGCGTTGAGATAAAAGAAACTGAAGATAGGAATTACATATGACAAAAGATTACATAAACTGTGGCATGGTCGACAGCCTGACAAAAAACCCGCAAGCTGGACCGACACAGAGATAATAATACAAACCATAATAACCAAATATTAACAGTAGTGCGTAAATTTTAACTCCTAAACCATAATTTACTCTGATAAAAAAAAAAAAAAATAAAAATAAAAAAGAGAGCCAGTCAAGCAATTTCACAAAAACTCCATTGCAAGCGGCGGATTTTCCTATTTTGCCCCTCTAAGCTAGAATCGAATCCCAGTCGATCTCGTACGACGGATACTTCTCCAACGAGAACGTCGTCTCCGCCCACTGCGACGGCTCCTCCGGGTCAGCGAACGTCAGGTCCGACAGCGGCGAAGATCCGGCGGTGGACTCTTCCAACGTTGGAGATCCACCGATCGAGACCGAGTTTTCCTCCGCCTTGACCTTCTCCTCCGACGGATCTGGCGACGAGACCACCTTCTCTGGCTTCACGGATGAACCACGTTTCTTCGATGATGATGATGATTTCGTCTGTTTGTCCTGTTTCTGAGTCTCCGCCATGCTTTTACAGATCGCTTCAAGCTTAGCGTCGACTGAGGAGTGAAGAGGTTTGTATTCACCGAAATCACCTCCGATGTGAGATCCGTTATGACGCAGGTTTGGGAAGTTAAGCCGGGCGAAATCGCCGCGCAGCTTATACGCGGCCTTATCATAGGCCAGCGCAGCTTCCTCCGCCGTGTCAAAGGTCCCGAGCCAAAGACGGGTACGATTCCTCGGCAAACGGATCTCAGCCACCCATTTCCCCCAGTGGCGTTGCCTCACACCTCTGTAAAGCTTCGTCGGCTTCGGAGGAACACCTGAACCGTAAGCGAAACAAGATCCGGCGACTCCGGATTGCTTCATCAGCAACGGCTTCGGGCTGAGAAGGTTCGAGAAAGTGTTGCTGTGATGCGTCGGGGGAAGAGGATGATGGATCTGAGACTGGATCTGGTGGATTTGAGAAGAAGAGAGGTTGTTGAGTCCGATCAATGACCCGGTTTGTTGAAGGTCCGACCCGTATGAAAACGGCTGGGTCAAGAACGTTGTTGAAGAAGAGTCAACGTTAACCGGGTAATAACCGGGGAGAGGAGGAAGAGAAAACGCAGACGCAGAGGCTGCGGGATGAAGAAACGCAGAAGAAGGAGCATCATCGGAAACGCTTCTGATAAAAGGTACAAGCGCGTCCATGAGCTCACCACCACCACCAAACGAATCTGATGATTCTTGAAACGTTGTGCTACTACTGTACATATTCATAGCAGCTGCCATTTCTGAAGAGATTTTTTAAAATAGAAATGAATCCGAAAAAAGTAAACCTGAGTCTTATCAAAAGTAAAGAAACAGGAGATTTTTCCGAGAAAATTCAAGAAAAATAAAAATTAAAATGGATCTAAAAGGTTTGAAATAAGCAACCTTTGTGTAGATCCTCCTAAAAGAGGGAATTTTAAAAAAAAAAATTCACCCTCGAAGAACTAAAAATCTACAAGAAGAAAAGAAAAAGAAAAATGAGGTAAAATCAGAAGAAATATGAAAAAAAGATCTCGTTCTGAAAATACCTGCCTTTTAAATCAAAACAAAGAAATAAACACAGTTTCATAAGCTTGGTTTTGTTTTTGAAAGACAGATGATTCACAGAAACGGATCGAATGAGCAGGAAACAACAGAACAGTAAGGAGGAAATTGCGAAAAAAAAATTGTAAAAATTCAAGAACTATTTGCTGTTATCTACCAATTTTGTTTTTGGGGGAAGACACTCAATATTTTTTTTTTTGTGTGTGTGTAGTGAATAACTCTCAAACCTCACCGATGAACTAACCATAGCAGCTTGGCTATGTGCTTATATAGTGGGTGTGCTCTTCTCTCACTATTTTCTCCTTTTCTTCCCTATTTTCCATTTTTTTTCTTACTACCATCTTTTCCATTTAATAATAACTAATAATACCATCACCAATTTAAAATATATATCCAGTAGAAGTTAACGGTAAAAAACAAATAATACTTAAAATCATATCAGTCGACATACAAAAATGTATCAAAATTATTTAATTTGAAAATGTTTTTACAAAATATCTTATTATATAAAACTTCTTCAACATGTTTTATATTATGAAATAGAAGAAGTGCTGTTTTACGATTTATATTATTAAAAGTTTAAAACAATACAAGTTTTACCACACCCGTAACAAAATACTAATCCGACCCTTAGTAATATGATTCCACCGAAAACGTCTTGTTAAAGTGTATCATCTCAACTCTCTAATGTCAAACCCTCTGGATTTTTATTTATTTACTGTATACGTAGATAATATTTGTTTTTTTTCATTATTGTTTGATGTCATTTATATTGAGAATCAGAAATGGTCTAAGAAATATACTTTTTACTCTTGATTCTATATATGTCAAAATTTAATCTAGCGAATTAAGGAAAACAAATGTAAGACAAGAGTAACTTGTTTTTTCAAAATATGGTAACTAGTCTTGTTTTCGTTTTTTAGAAGAAGAAAATAGTATTTGTATAATTTTCAAACATATTTCCAATAATTGTTTCATTTTTGGCTCTATGTATATATGAGCGGGTGGGAGAATGACATGCAGCTAATGATTCAATGACACGTGTAATAGACACAGTGAAACGGCTTACCAAATGTAATAATTTCAAACACGTGTCCACGTATTATTTGTGCTTTGTGGAGTAAATAGTCGTACCTGATTTTGTTGACCGATCGGGTTTGTGTTCACACTTGCACAGTTCACAGACCAAATTTTGCTAGTAAATTATTTGTTTGCTTCGGTCTTATTATTAGTAACTACAAAAACCGTTTTTACATTTTTATTTATTATATATATATTTTTTAACTGAGACTTGGTTTTTTCCAAATAATATTTTTTGGAAAGATGTTGGTTTTTTAGTATCAATTACAAATTTATTTGCCTTTTATAAAAGTTACGAATGGATCAATATGTTTTAACAGATATTACATGAATCATAATATAGTTACATGAATTGAGTTTTGTACTTGTGGTATATATATATATATATATATATATATTGCCTAATTTTCTCACATGTTAATAGTTTATTAAATTTCGTTCCTGGAAAATATCTCCACTAAGATGAAAGAAATAAAATAGAAAATGATGAGGAGGAAGTAGGTGACCCATCATCCATTGATAAGAATATCACAAACTGTTTTTGGAACCATCCCTTTGCCACTCACCTATCTCATTCTTATCTCTTATCTTTCGTTATCTCTCACCATTTTTTATACTCCCCGATGGTATTAGAAATCATATTAGTATGCATATATATAAAGTTAAAGACATATTACCATCGCCTATCAAAAATCAAAAGAATCGCCGTAAACGTTCAAACTCCGGGTTAAAGACATAGTTATATCTCTTGTAAGCTGTGTAACTTTCTTTGTCTTAATACTCTTATCGATATTTGATTAGTCAGCCAAACGAACCTAATGTCGTAGGTATATTATTGAGAGAGAAAAGTATGTAGTAATCGTAAGAAAGAAACTAGCCATAATCTCATTAATGGCGTAAGCAATTAGACGTTAAGATATGAATTTTTCACTTGGTCGTCTGTACGTATGTATAATTTTAACATGCAACCACTAAGAAATTTTATACGGAATCAACCAAACGAATGTGGTACAAAATTCAACTATTGACATTGTATAAGAAATAATATCTTGAATTAAGAAAAATATCGTTAAGACGCCCAAAGTGATGTTGATTTACATCACCATTTAATATTTTAAAGTTGTTGTTTAGTCGCGCAAGTATTAATCATGACAATTATAATGGGTAGTTTAGACTTTAGTCGACATAAAATAGTGTTTTACAAAATTTTAATAGAAGTCTCTAGAGGTTTTTAGAGATGGATTGGCGGAGAACTCCACCATTATCATTACCATATTATATCATCTTCTTAATATAAAACCCTAATATTTTTTAGCTAAAGTCCGAACCTTTCGCCATCTCATTCTTATCTAGCTGTGTATATTATTCGTAGCCGCATTTTATCACAAATTTGGATCTTATCGCAAGCTTTAGTTTAAATACAAAATTCCCGACAAAATAAAGTTCTAATAAACTTTGCAAATGTTCTGAATATTAGTATGTACAAGATTCGAATTTTGTTCGTATTTATATGATTGAACTATTTCGAAAATGATGCAACATTGATTATCATGTTGTATTAACAATTACATCACGAAAACAATTCATGAGAACGAGAAGGAAAATGAAGTGCCATTTTTTTAATCTACCGTGGATAGTTTTAACTTTTTAGAAATGAAACATGTTATTTTCAATAACCCGTTTACCATAAAAACTGATCCGGTAAAAAAAAAAAACGAAAAAACTGATAGGACGCATAACGTCTAGACTTGTAGCTAGTTTGTATCAAGTTGCATCAATACCAAAACCACATGCTTAAAACACACAAACTTTAGAAACTTGGTAAGCAAAAGGAAGTACCACTTGTATCTCTAAAAAAATGAGAAGCGTCTAGAGCTTGTAAAAACAGATTGAAACCAAATTTAAAACTATTATTTTGTTTTGTGTATACATTAGAAAGAAAAAAAGTCAGAAGATGAGCATGGAAGGCGCAAGGCGAAGTAAGGTACGCATGTGGGAAGCACGTGCTCGTTGAACACGTAAGCCCCGTTTGTGGCGACGGCGGAAGAAGCTTCGAGTTTCGCAGTGGACTAAAATAGCGGCGGATCTACGGCATTACAAAAGAGCCAACGGTTAAGAGTGAGCAATAAATGTGAAGCAACGTAACAGTTTAAGGTTGCTTAGGAAAAATAGTCTAATCGGCCAGCTTCTCATGTACTGTCAAAAACTGATGTTTATATTTTATTTCGTTCTGAAGAATGAGTAATATGTTAACATAATATGGATCTAATATACTAAATTATCAATCATTTGCAAACGATTAAACGTGTAAAATATATGAAGTCAAAAGAGGGTAAACAGACTGTATCTATATTAAAAAAAAAGTATGTTTATTGTTTTGTAAATACGGGGTCAAGGGTGGATACTTCGACTTTTCATATATTGGAAGAGTCCCTTATATATGAACTCATACGAAAGAAAAAGAAAAATCTGATAATGTTTTTGCTTATACACAAAAATTTCACGTGGAATAATACGATCGAGAACTATGTATATATTTATGTTAGGAATAATTAGCGGAGCATGTCATGAGGAAAATGAAATAGTCAACTGCATAATGCACGGCCAGCTCTAGTTTAGCTGTGTTTTAATGTTCACAGTTTCTTAATTCTTTTCTTCTTCTTTTTTTTTGTCTTTCTCATCCATCGATCCTAAACAAATATTTCAATCCGGCAACATTTGCACATGTAAATCTGCATGTATTTCAAGAACTCTGAGTCTCTGACATTTTTGTTTTGTTTTTAAAACTGATTATTGTTAATGGCTTTTTATTCCAAATACAGATAATAATAATATTGGACTACTCATAAGCCTTAAATTATATGTATTGTTTTCATATATAAAATGGAAACCAACCAATAAAATCAGTGGCATAGATTGCGCGTGTGTACTTTATTTTGTCTTCAGCACTTCAAACGCGGTTTCCATCACAAAACGTTATTTTTTTCTTCAACTTTTCAAAAATCCAGCGGCTCGCTCACTTTTACGCCACGTGTTTGTAATGAATGGCCCAGATTGAACTGTCATCTATCTAAGTAGCTGTGTGGTCACCGGTGAACTGTAACCAACCTCACTCCACTTAATGTGTTACTCAATTTTGGTCACATGAAACAAATTAATGACGAATCAAACCCCCTTTTTGTGAATAAAATCAAAAGTTTTTGTTTCCATTTATCACATTTATTATAAAGTTGTGATTGATTAGTTGGTAATAATATGGTTGAAGATACATACATACATACATAAGAAGAAAATGTTATGATTTTGGGGATGCAAAATAGAAATAATAGCTGCTATTTTAATTTTAATTTGCAATAAAAGAAGAAGAGGGTGGTGTCGTTTTCAGAGCAGTTGGATGTCGTTTTATGAATGAATGAAAATGTGAATCTTTTGGGGTGAGTTGTCTCCGTCACATTTTGTTCAAAACCAACCTTTTCCCCTCTTCTTTCCTTTCTTATCGTTTTCGCGTGATATGTTTGTTTGTGTATCGTGGTGGTGATTAACGTGACATATGCTCTAATTTCTCCTTTTCTTTTTTTTTATATGCTAATTTTAGTACTTGTTTTTATTTCATTTTTATTATTGGATATCTCAACATTAGTACTTAATTTTTTGGATCCTATTACATTTGCCTTTTCAATATTCCCAATTTGCATTGTAATACCACTTTTATTTTTTTCCATGACAAATTAACATTAAAGAATTTATTTTTGTTCTCTTAGATGTTAGATGGATGCAATTGATATATGTTAAACGTTTTTTTTTTTCTGTTTTTTTTTTAAGGAAGGTTCTTGTAAAAAGATATAGTAGAATCCAAGACTCTTTTTCTCTTATGGAATAAGAAGAAGAAGGTTAGGTGTTATATACTGAGGAATGTTTCGTAAAGCTTTAACATATGATTAAGTGGCTCACATACACACATGACACCTCCTTAATTGTTTTATTCGTTAAAAGAAGAAAAATATCGAACATCAAATCACCTAAATGATCTTTATGTCTACTTTTAGAATTAGATGCTCCTCTAAAAGATCCTTCCAATCTCACATTTCATCACCTAACTTATACTGTATCCTTTCAAATTTAACTATCACTCTTATGCTAGAAAGAGCAGGCAAGACAAAAGTGATGAATAGAGGCTATATCATTATATTTATATCTGAAGCCTACACGTGTATATGTAATGTGTGTATCTTCCTTAAATCTTCTATTTCTATACCTTAATGAATATCTGAAGCAGGCTTCAAATGATGATGGCAAAACCAATTTTCACATCATATATTTAGCAAAATTCTAATTCTCCGTTGAACCCTCAAGACGAAACAAGCCAAACGTCGCTTGATCGGCTTCTAAAGTTGTTAAAGAACATCTTCCACAGTCAATGATAAAAACTACGGGAAATAACGAAATTATTTTTTGTAGCGTCTGATATAACGAGTTGGGCTTTAGCTCTTTTAAGCCCATATAAATAATTCCTTTTTCTTTTTCTTTTTTTTGTCCCACAACGATCAAATCTCACTCTGCAACCTACAATTTCTTTAATAAATATCCTAGTCAAACACTAAATTTATCATTCATGCCTGTCAAAATATTAACTTCGTTTGAACAAAGTATATGTATGTTGAAACTCGAAAAACATTAACTTGACTAGGGAAAGTCAGATAAAAACAGAGACTTAAACCCCACACAAAGGCATTACATAATTATGACTGACACTCGTGTAATATATAGTTCGGATAGGATTACATGTAATGATCAGAATATGGAATCAACATACGAGTGATCTCGCTTCCTGTTAAACTCCAACAAGCTACCGTAGGTACGATCAGCCACTCCCACGAATAGTGCTTCCGTGTCTGGGCTAAACGAGATCCCCGCTATTTCTCCAAACATATCAATCTCTTGACAGTGACTGTAACCAGCTTCCGTGTCAAACAAGTGTACAAAGTCTGCTGGCTCAGCCATCGCTAGGAACCGTCCATCAGAAGTAAACCTCAAGGCTCTGATGGCTCCCATGTTTCCTTTCAACACTTTCAGCGATTGAGACAAGTTCCTTACGTCCCACAGCCTGCAGGTTGTGTCTTGGTTACCCGTGGCTATGATCTGACCGTTTGGGTGCCATGCTGACGAAAACGAGTAGTCAAGATGGCCTTCGAGTCCGTGGATCACTTTTCCAGATCCGGCATCGGCTAGTAAGCACTCTGGACTGTCCCCTAGAACAGCCACTAGATTACCGTCTGGACTTGTGGAGATGTTCTACAGACACAGACGCACCAAAACCATAAATAATCGCCCTTTCGAGACTAGAGCAGATAACAACAGCCTAGTCTAAAGAGAAGAAGATGCGCTTACATTTACAGACCAATCAAAGGTGAAACTGTTGAGGAAGGTGAAGTTTGTGGCATCAAATTGCCGGATGATACAGTCATTGTTCGCAGTCATAACCCTTAAGGAGCCGCTACATGGATTAAGGAAGCAAGTATTAGAGAAGCTTTTTTTTTTTATACATATATAAACCAATGTAAGCTCTGTTACTTGGGTGTGTTGTATATGTCAACGGAATTGGTGATGTCATTTTCAGCTGGTGTTAGTTTTGTGCAGAAAGCAACCTCAGGTTCGTCCAGTCTCTGCAATCAGAGAGACCACGCAAAGTCAGAAACCAAATTACCATATAGATCACTGTAGAACACAAAATGTGTTAATATACCTTGCAGATAAGCTCCCCTTGGAACCCTCCCGCAACTATCAAATCGTCTTTAACTGCCATGGTACTTATCTGGACTCTTGATACAGACTGCGACAACGATCCAGGCTGCTTCTGCAGATTGAATTACCAACGTTAATATATAGTTGAATTCCGAGGTTCAAGAACAAGTGAGATATAGCACGTAAGGTTGCTCACCATTGCAGGAACAACGGGCTTGGCCACATTAAGTACTTCTTTGCCCCTTTGCAGCAAAGATGACCAATGCATGAGAGAGTAGTTATTCATGAAATACACATCGTGCTTTGATGTTGCCCATACCAAGTTCCTTAGCTGTAAAGATGAGACAATCTAGATTAGGATTCTCACATAAGACACAACCGCTCATCTTAGACAAAAAAAAAAGAAAGAAAAAATCTCACACAAAAACACATGTCAAGAAAGAAACAAAGCAACCGTTCAGTTATCATATATGAACTCCAAAGACTAATATCTATTATGTATCAAATTTTAGCATTAATCTTTTAGAGACCTATGAATCAACTGTGCCAAGCAGAAAAGAAGAAGACCAAAACTAGAAGAAAGAATAATAAGCACAAGAGCATGGTATCACGGAAAATGCAGAAATATGTAAGCTGAAACAAATTGATTCCCTGTAAGGAAGAAGGATGACAAAGTTAGAGAGTCCTTGTAGATTTGCAAAACATTTCCTATCATACCATATTAACAAAGGTTTCCTTATGGCGCCAGCTGCTCTCCCAACCTGTTTAAGAAAGGTTAAGGCATACAGTAACTGTTTCTCAAATGCAGCAGAGTTAACTACAAGTCTTTCTATATAGTTCACGATTGTCTAACAATGGACATTGAGCAATATCTAATGTGCGAGGAAATCTTTAATACACTCTGTGGCTATAATTATCTGGGCGTATGAAACGCTATGAAAAATGTTAAAAAGTTGCCTGGACTAGTTAGATTTATCAACTCTGTCTCGACCATCCTAGACACATATCATGACACTTCTTCGAATAAGTTAGAACCTTACACAGTATTGTACCTGAGTAAATATGGAATCTAAATTATTATATTTCGAGAATGTTAGGAACGAGCAGGTTATATTTTAAGCACCCTTGAAGATTATCTGCAAAAGAAAAGGACTTGGTGTGAATCAACACCCCAGCTACAGAGCTGAGGGTGGGAACAGTGAGCAGTGAACAATAAGCAAACAGGAATAAACAATCACTGTATACACATGCTATTCATGTTCAAAATAAGTTTTGAACTGTGATTCAATGGCAGGTCTCAGTGAAAGAGTTGGGGGTTTTAGACTTGGTGTGAAATAATCGTGACACTGAAGAAAGAAGCATGAAACTAGAATTCTCTAATCTCATGTAGCAGTTGCAGACTCAATTGATAAACACAAGAGCTGAAGGGTTGCAAATGGTAAAAATGAAGAATCTAAATGACTCTAGACATCAGGTAAACAGAGTATGCCAAAAATTGCAAACATAAAGAAAGCAAATCTCTATACCTGAAAATGTGCAATTGTGGACTTGACAAGCCTTGTGTTGAACTGAAAGTCATAAAAGTTTCTCCCTTTCTCTACTTGCAAGCATTCCTGTCAGGCAACAAAAACACCATAAATCATAAGAAAGATGGCACACCAAAATTCAAATACCAATGATCGATCATAATGATGAACATGAAAACTTGACTCAATTGTTGCAGAAACAGACCTTGTCAAGGTCTTGTCTTGATCGAAAGAGGCTCTCAAAGTTTTTGTAGTGTAGCAATCTGTTCTGACGGTATCTATCTCTAGTGTAATTTAACATCTCCCATGGAATCCCTTGAATATCTTTTCCATTCCTGGCTTCTAACGCTGACGTATCATTGTTCAGCTTACTCTGAGTCTAGCAAAAAAACACGACACCTTTGTTTACTATCCATCATCACATCCATTCAAAAACCACCAGCCTTTCAGCTAAGACCAGAGCAGAATAAAGTATCATCATACATACCGGCTCGAAATCGAACTCGGAGTCCATGAAATCAGAATCAGAATCACTCGTGATGTCCACCTCTCCAAAGGGTTCATCATCGTCGAAATCAGCGCGAAAGCCATCAACGAGGTATTCAAGATCAGAGTTGTCGAAAATATCCATCTCTTCAAAAACCTGGTGAAATCGATCAAGAACACAAAAGTAAGATTATATAAATAAAAACGCCATAAACGGCTAAAGAACGAGGGAAACAAAAATAAACAAACCTTGTGTTCAAAAGTTGTATCCTTGAAGCAATAAAAATCGTAACTTTCTTTTGTGAAATAGGTGGAAGGAAGGAGAAGGAGTAGGAGAAGAGCAAGCTTTGTGTTGTGTGGTTTAGCGAAGAAACGGTGAGGAAGGAGTTTAAGGGCCTTCCCTTACTTTATAGTTTATATATAACAAACGGTGTGGTCTGAATTTGAGAGAGACGACGACATACACGACAAGGTTTCCGTGGGGCCGGTTAACTAGAACCGGTAATTAAAAATGAAAAAAACTGTCTTTGTAATAGTATTTGATAATTTTGATACATGTCTCTATTCTCTAATAGTGATGTGAAAATATTAGTGTAATCTCAATTTTAAGAGGTACGTTAAAGAAAAAGATTTATAAAGTAGTCTCGACTGTGTTCTTCAAAGATGTGGTCAATTTGTATCAAAACAGCTGTTGTTGTTACTTGTTAGATCATGAAAACATCAAAATCTTCTTAATGAAAAGAGAAATGAGAGAGACAAGCGTCAGACAATTTTAATGAACAAAAACAAGATTAGGGAGGATGACGTCACTAGTGTATTAATAAAGAGACCACGACGAGAAATAGTCAAACAAATTTGTAAATATCAAATATGTTTATTTATATTGTTGATAGTGTCACTCTCTCTTTGGAACGTGGCCGTCGTAGTCTACCGACATCTCACAGTCTCGTGATGGCAGTTTTGTCATTTCAGAAAGCACCCTTCGTTAGTCCGTCAAGCGGCTACGGCGACCGTCGTCACGACGACTGATACTTTTACTATACGTGACACGTGTCGGTCATTTTTTTCGCAACTGCTTAGCTTCCTCCACGTGGAATTAAGTTTTGAGTTTTTTGATTATTTTATTTCCAAAACAAAAAAAAATAGGTAAATATATAACATATTTTAATCTTAAAATTCTACCCGTTGTAATTTTGAACATGTTGAATTTATGTGAGATTAATCAAACTATAAAATTTCTACAAACCTCTACTTACCAAACACTTAGCTTGAGACAGAAACAAATTATCTTATTTATAACCACACATTTCTACAAACCTCTTCTCACCAAAACTTTTATTAATTGTTTGAAACTGACATATTTTATCCGGTCAAACTTAATTACGTGACCAGATAAAACTAGGATTAAGTCTATTATCGTGACAAATGGACAGAAATGATAAGTTAAGGTATATCAAATATTGTTATCCATTTTTCACTTAATGTGGTTGGTTGGACGGTTAATATGTTCATCTCATGTTCATTTTCCAACGATTCTTGTCTCTTGATTACCACCAAGACGTCTTATGGACTAAATGGGCTGTAGATACCGAATTACACTATAGAAAAAATATGCTAAAGCAAGAGCTTTTTGAAGAAACATAAATATTGGGTTTATATAGGCCCAAACGAAATTATTGAAAAGCAAAAAATTAAATCTTTAGGTCTCTCTGTACTCGGTTAGATATTGATGATATTAGATTTTTCTATTTTTTTAAAAACATTTTTTGTAATAAATCGATTTTTATAATGTTAGGTAAATAGTGGTGTATTAATATGGTTACTAGTATCAGAATTCACAGTATAAGTTTTGTTACGTTAATATATATTTAATTTTTATATTATAAGCTTGAATAAATTTCATTTTTGCTCAAAAAGGGAATTGTTAAGGATCATCATTATTATCATTAGTAAGATTCGTCAATTTTTTCTATATATTGAATAAAATTGCATAGTAATCAGAGATTAAATATTGGTTATCATTATTGAATGAAATATTCATTTGCTAGTAAATTAATGTAAATTATTAAATGGGTCTCAGCATTGGCTTTTCTTTTCGATGAATAGGGATAAATAATGAAATGGGTCAGCACTGTCACACTCTCCCACTAATCACTCAGCAGTTTCTCATCTCTCTTTCCTCATTTCCAAGCCATGTCTAAGCTGGTTCATCTTCTCCTGCTCCTCTTGTTCATCTTCCAAGCCGTCGACTCGGCTCCTCCGCCGCACGCGTGCGACCCTTCGAACCCAACCACGAAACTCTACCAGTTCTGCCGCACTGACCTCCGGATCAGAAACCGAGCGCATGATCTTGTCTCGAGGCTAACCATAGACGAGAAGATCTCGCAGCTGGTGAATACAGCTCCCGGGATACCGCGTCTCGGAGTTCCGGCGTACGAATGGTGGTCGGAGGCTTTACACGGCGTAGCCAATGTTGGTCCAGGAATCCGGTTTAACGGAACGGTTAGAGCAGCCACTAGTTTCCCTCAAGTCATCTTAACCGCTGCTTCATTCGACTCCTATGAATGGTTCCGCATTGCTCAAGTTCGTTTCTCTCTCTCTCTCTGTTTTTTCTCGTGTTTGATTTAATCAATTTAATAATCTGTCTTATGCTGGCACGAATTTAGATTTTTTTTTTTTTTGTTGAATTTTTGAGTTAACATTAAAGTAATTTCTAAGTTAAATCCATTTTCTTTTTAAAGATTAATAGGGCTGAACATAGTTTATGGTATTTATGGAACACTTATGTGAAGTTTGGAACTAAAACTTTTTGTTATGTTATAGGCTTTTTTTATAAAAATTATTGGAAAAAATAGTAAATGAGAAAGCATTTTGTTGTATTGAGGTATTCAGGTAATAGGAAAGGAAGCAAGAGGAGTGTACAACGCAGGACAAGCCAATGGGATGACATTTTGGGCACCAAACATTAACATTTTCAGAGATCCACGGTGGGGAAGAGGCCAAGAGACTCCCGGCGAGGATCCTATGATGACCGGATCTTACGCCGTGGCTTACGTCAGAGGACTCCAAGGTGACTCTTTCGACGGTCGTAAAGTTCTCTCCGGCGCTCATCTCCAAGCATCCGCTTGTTGTAAGCATTTCACAGCCTACGATCTTGACCGTTGGAAAGGTATCACTCGCTACGTTTTCAATGCTCAGGTAAATTTATTGACTAATTTCTCCGCTTACTTCACTTTTTTCATTACTATCTTTTGACCATCTTTTCCATTTTTGATTTGTTTCTTTTTTTTTTATATATTCTAAAGTGTGGTCTCAAAAGTAGAAATGTTACATAATGCCGTTTTTATAGTTTATAAGTGATTTCTTTGATTGCACTCTTTATGTCTTGTCATGGATATGCTAATCTTTATGTCTTGTCATGAATATGTACGTTAATTGTCATTAGATATATCTAATCTTCATGTTGATATTCTGACGTGGACTATGAGTGGCATCGAGTCTTTCGAAATAGAAACAAAATTAAATTGAAGTTTCTTTTTAAAATTAACCAAGATTTAATAATCTAATTTATTGAGTTTCTTTTGTTAAGGTGAGTTTGGCTGACCTTGCCGAGACGTACCAACCACCGTTCAAGAAGTGCGTAGAAGAAGGCCGAGCCAGTGGCATTATGTGTGCTTATAACCGAGTCAACGGCATTCCCTCTTGCGCTGACCCCAATCTCTTGACTCACACCGCTCGTGGCCTTTGGCGTTTCCGCGGGTTCCTTCCTCTCTGCTTGCTTATACTTGCTTCTTTTAACACCATTTTTATTTGCTAAAACAAAACCGTCTCTGTGTTTTCTTTTCAGATATATCACTTCAGATTGTGACGCTGTCTCAATCATCTATGATGCTCAAGGCTACGCCAAATCCCCTGAAGACGCCGTCGCTGGCGTCCTCAAAGCTGGCATGGACGTAAACTGTGGATCATACTTACAGAAACACACTAAATCAGCTCTTCAACAAAAGAAAGTGTCGGAATCTGATATTGACAGAGCTCTGCTCAATCTTTTCTCTGTTAGGATTCGTCTCGGTCTCTTTAACGGCGATCCGACCAAACTGCCTTATGGAAACATCAGTCCTAAGGACGTTTGCTCACCGGCTCATGAAGCTTTAGCACTCGACGCTGCTCGTAACGGTATAGTTCTCTTGAAGAACAATCTTAAACTCCTTCCTCTCTCCAAAAGTTCTTCGTCGTTAGCTGTAATCGGCCCAAACGCTAACGCCGCTAGAACGCTTCTCGGAAACTATGCTGGTCCGCCTTGCAAGACTGTGACTCCTCTTGACGCCTTACGTGGTTACGTTAAAAACGCTGTTTACCACCAAGGATGTGATGCCGTGGTTTGCTCCAACGCTGACATTAATCAAGCTGTTGCAATCGCGAGAAACGCTGATCATGTGGTCTTGATCATGGGACTAGACCAGACTCAAGAGAAAGAAGACCTGGATCGCGTTAGCCTTACTCTTCCCGGGAAGCAACAAGACCTCATAACGAGCGCTGCAAATGCGGCCAAGAAACCGGTGGTTCTGGTTCTGATATGTGGTGGTCCTGTTGATGTCTCATTTGCTACGAATAACGATAAAATCGGAAGCATTATATGGGCTGGTTATCCTGGAGAGGCTGGAGGTATTGCTCTTGCTGAAATCATTTTTGGAGATCACAATCCCGGTGAGTCTTTCTTCTTCTTCTTCTTCTTCTTCTTCAACAAATAGTAGTGAAAGAGTTTCTCTGTTTTGATATCTATTATACACTCTTGTGGTGTTTAGGAGGGAGATTACCTGTGACTTGGTATCCTCAGAGCTTTGTGAATGTAAAGATGACAGACATGAGAATGCGCTCTGCAACTGGATATCCAGGAAGGACTTACAAATTCTACAAAGGCCCCAAAGTGTTTGAGTTTGGACATGGTCTAAGCTATTCAAAATACTCTTACCGGTTCAAGAATCTGCCTGAAACCAAACTCTACTTAAACCAATCTAAAGCTCTTCTCAACTCGGATTCTGTTAGATACGCTCTGGTTTCAGAAATGGAGAAAGAAGCTTGCAATGTAGCTAAGACTAAGGTCACTGTTACGGTGGAGAATCAAGGGGAGATGGCAGGAAAACATCCGGTGCTGATGTTTGCACGGCACGAGAGAGGAGGAGAAGACGGGAAACGCGCAGAGAAACAGCTGGTCGGGTTTAAGAGCATTGTGCTAAGTAATGGAGAGAAAACGGAGATAGAGTTTGAGATCGGTCTTTGTGAACATTTGAGTAGAGCTAATGAAGTTGGAGTTATGGTCGTTGAAGAAGGAAAGTATTTCCTAACCGTTGGAGATTCAGAGCTTCCTTTTACTCTTTATGTCTGATTCTGTATATGTATCTTCTTAAACATATAAAAAGTCACTTTGAATTGGCTTTTTTTTTTTTTTTTTAATCTGAAATAACATGCAATGAAATTGGATTAAACTGAATAAAATATTTAAATTTGGAGGCTTGCAAAATAATCTTATTCATAAAAACTGTGAATCATTATCAAAACAATGTGGAAAAAGTTGTATTTTTATTATACATATAATTATGTAATAATTGTTTTTTAAAAAGATACGATTATATAAAGATATTGGAAAAATATTTGAGAGAATGAAACTGAAAAAATAAGAAAATAATATTTTGAATTTCCGAGGGAGAAATTTTAGGAAAATTTGTTAAATGTGATTATTATTGGTTTTAAAATTTTTAAATAAACAATAAATACAAGTGACATTTAGTTTTAAATAAACTCAAATTTCTAGAAAATTTTCAAATACAGATGTAAAAATGTTATAATATATTAAATAACTGTAATTTTTATTTACAAATATATCGACGATAAAATTATTATTTAAAAACTAAAATTCGTTTATAACATATATATTTTAAGTTTTATTTGAATATGTAAAAGTTTGATATAATAATTTTAAATTTAATCCGTGAGAATTATTATAATGTTGATGTTATATTTTATTATCATATGATTAAATTGAAAAGATTGACCAATTATAAAGAAAAATTGTTCAGCTAATTGATCTTCTATGTGAGGGAGGAATTAAATGAATGTTATTCAATCTTATTTGTTCAACTCATTGATCTTCTATGTGAGGGAGGAATGAATTGAATGTTATTCAATATTTTTTGTTCAACTCATATTTTTCAATTTATTCATGTTAATGCAGCCATTTCCACTCTTAAAATTAGTCAACATAGGAAAATTTTGGGTCAATTATTAATTGTAATTATTTATATGTTGAATAAAAAATCATTTGCTATACAAATGGCAAATTAAGGTAAACGGGTTATCATAAGAAGACTCTTGTCACACTCATCAGTTTCTCATCTCTCTTTCCGCATTGCGAAGCCATGTCTCAACTGGTCATTCTTCTGCCCCTGTTGTTCATCTTCCAAGTCGTCGACTCAGCTCCTCCGCCGCATGCTTGTGACCCTTCAAACCCAGCAACGAAACTCTACCAGTTCTGCCGCACTGACCTCCAAATCAGTAATCGTGCGCATGATCTTGTCTCGAGGCTAACCGTAGACGAGAAGATCTCGCAGCTGGTGAATACGGCTCCCGGGATACCGCGTCTCGGAGTTCCGGCGTACGAATGGTGGTCGGAGGCTTTGCACGGCATAGCCTATACCGGTCCAGGAACCTGGTTTAACGGAACGGTTAAAGCAGCCACTAGTTTCCCTCAAGTCATTTTAACCGCTGCTTCATTCGACTCATATGAATGGTTCCGCATTGGTCAAGTTCGTTTCTCTCTTTCAATCTCTCTCTCTCTCTTTTTTCTCGTATTATTTCTCCTGAGAATGTGTTTCGTTGTATTGAGATTTTTAGGCAATAGGAGAGGAAGCAAGAGGTATGTACAACGCAGGGCAAGCCAATGGGATGACATTTTGGGCACCAAACATTAACATTTTCAGAGATCCACGGTGGGGAAGAGGCCAAGAGACTCCCGGCGAGGATCCTACGATGACCGGATCTTACGCCGTGGCTTACGTCAGAGGACTGCAAGGTGACTCTTTCGACGGTCGTAAAGTTCTCTCCGGCGCTCATCTCCAAGCCTCCGCTTGTTGTAAGCATTTCACAGCCTACGATCTTGACCGTTGGAAAGGTGTCACTCGCTACGTTTTCAATGCTCAGGTAAATAAACTAGTTTTCATTTTTTCCATTTTTTATTTGTATAATTTTATTCTTAAGTGTGGTAAAGGTAGAATTTTTACATAATGCCAGTTTTATAGTTTATAAATGGTTAATTTCTTTCATCGCACTCTTTATGTCTTGTCATGAATATGTGCTTATCTTTATGTCTTGTCACGATTATGTATGTTAATTATCATTATATATCTAATCTTCATGTTGACATTCTGACGTGGACTACGGTTTACATCGAGTCTTTGAAATTAGAAACAGAAATAAATTGAAGGTCACAAAATATCTCTTAAATTAAAATTAACGAGTATATAATATAGTAGTAAATTAAACTTTTTTTTTTTGTCATCTATAAAACTTAATTAATGATGATACAATAATCAAATTTATTGAGTTTTATTTTATTTTTAAGGTGAGTTTGGCTGACATGGCGGAGACGTACCAACCACCGTTCAAGAAGTGCGTAGAAGAAGGCCGAGCCACTTGCATCATGTGTGCTTACACCCGAGTCAACGGCATTCCCTCTTGCGCTGACCCCAATCTCTTGACTCACACCGTTCGTGGCCTCTGGGGTTTCCGCGGGTTCGCTCCTCTCTGCTTCTTTTAACGTACACCACTCTTATTTGCTAAAACAAATCTGTCTCTGTTTTTTTGTTTTTCAGATATATCGCTTCAGATTGTGACGCTGTCTCACTCATCTATGAAGCTCAAGGCTACGCCAAATCCCATGAAGACGCCGTCGGTGACGTCCTTAAAGCTGGCATGGACGTAAACTGTGGATCATACCTACAGAAACACACCAAATCAGCTCTTCAACAAAAGAAAGTGTCGGAATCTGATATTGACAGAGCTCTGCTCAATCTTTTCTCTGTTAGGATTCGTCTCGGTCTCTTTAACGGCGATCCGACCAAACTGCCTTATGGAAACATCAGTCCTAAGGACGTTTGCTCACCGGCTCATGAAGCTTTAGCACTCGACGCTGCTCGTAACGGTATAGTTCTCTTGAAGAACAATCTTAAACTCCTTCCTCTCTCCAAAAGTTCTTCGTCGTTAGCTGTAATCGGCCCAAACGCTAACGCCGCTAGAACGCTTCTCGGAAACTATGCTGGTCCGCCTTGCAAGACTGTGACTCCTCTTGACGCCTTACGTGGTTACGTTAAAAACGCTGTTTACCACCAAGGATGTGATGCCGTGGTTTGCTCCAACGCTGACATTAATCAAGCTGTTGCAATCGCGAGAAACGCTGATCATGTGGTCTTGATCATGGGACTAGACCAGACTCAAGAGAAAGAAGACCTGGATCGCGTTAGCCTTACTCTTCCCGGGAAGCAACAAGACCTCATAACGAGCGCTGCAAATGCGGCCAAGAAACCGGTGGTTCTGGTTCTGATATGTGGTGGTCCTGTTGATGTCTCATTTGCTACGAATAACGATAAAATCGGAAGCATTATATGGGCTGGTTATCCTGGAGAGGCTGGAGGTATTGCTCTTGCTGAAATCATTTTTGGAGATCACAATCCCGGTGAGTCTTTCTTCTTCTTCTTCTTCTTCTTCTTCAACAAATAGTAGTGAAAGAGTTTCTCTGTTTTGATATCTATTATACACTCTTGTGGTGTTTAGGAGGGAGATTACCTGTGACTTGGTATCCTCAGAGCTTTGTGAATGTAAAGATGACAGACATGAGAATGCGCTCTGCAACTGGATATCCAGGAAGGACTTACAAATTCTACAAAGGCCCCAAAGTGTTTGAGTTTGGACATGGTCTAAGCTATTCAAAATACTCTTACCGGTTCAAGAATCTGCCTGAAACCAAACTCTACTTAAACCAATCTAAAGCTCTTCTCAACTCGGATTCTGTTAGATACGCTCTGGTTTCAGAAATGGAGAAAGAAGCTTGCAATGTAGCTAAGACTAAGGTCACTGTTACGGTGGAGAATCAAGGGGAGATGGCAGGAAAACATCCGGTGCTGATGTTTGCACGGCACGAGAGAGGAGGAGAAGACGGGAAACGCGCAGAGAAACAGCTGGTCGGGTTTAAGAGCATTGTGCTAAGTTACGGAGAGAAAGCGGAGATGGAGTTTGAGATTGGTCTTTGTGAACATTTGAGCAGAGCTAATGAAGTTGGAGTTATGGTTGTTGAAGAGGGAAAATATTTCCTAACCGTTGGAGATTCAGAGCTTCCTCTTACTGTTAATGTCTGATTCTGAATCTAAAAACATATAAAAAGTCAAGTTGAATTGGCTTTTTTTTTTTTAATATTTGAAATAACATGCAATGAATCTAATACATATTTAAACTGTTCCTGATTGTTTTGTCACTACATAGCTAAGCAAGTAAAACACAAAAAGAACTGATTTTCGGTTTATTTCTGGAAGACATTATTTAAGGGACGCCTCATCAAGCTTCTCTCTGTATTGTGCCAATCTCTGGAACCAAGAAGCATTATATCAGCAAACTCATACTAATGGAGATAAAGAAGATCGAATCAGTTGGTTTAGTTTAGCTTGGTTCGGTTTACCTTCGTATAAGCATAGACACCAGCTTCAGTAGGACCAACCGGGCTTCCTCGTTTCATGAACTTTCCTTCTTTGAAGATATAGAGCAATGGTATACCCGTTGATAGGTCTAGAGTTGTAACCTGAGAAACAGAAAGAATAGGTTTCAGCAGATCCGCAAACACATTGATCAAAATGACTCAATTCTGAACTAGAACCAGATTGTTTGGTTACTACCTCTTGAGAAGTTAAATCGTCTAGATACATAATGATAGATCGCAATGAGTTCCCATGAGCAGCAATCATTACGTTATTTCCAGATGCAAGCTCTGGTTTGATCTGCATAAGGATTAGACATCAGCAAAAGGATTAAGTTAAGGGAAAAATAGAAGAATCTCTCATTCATACGTTGTCTTCGAAATAAGCAACTGCTCTCTCAGCGCACATCTCCAAACTCTCGCCTTTAGGAGGAGGAATTTCGTAACTCCTACGCCATTCGTGAACTTGTTGTGTCCCGTATCTTTCCGCTGTTTCTTTCTTGTTCAAACCCTGCAATTCTCCATACCTAACTCAAGAAAAAAAAGAGTTGGAACTTTCCTATAATTCAAATTTGTCTAGTGTACACATAACAAACACAAGAGAAGTGGCATTTGGTTTACATTCTCTCATTCAGCTGCCAAGCCGCTATGACGGGGATAGATTGTTTTCTAGTTTCTTCGCTGAACACATGACTCCAAGTTTTCGCCTTTACACTCTCATTGTGCAAGATGATCGGAACCTAGAGAGAAACCAACACAAGTCAAATAAAGAAATTTCCAGAAAAAACCAAAGATGAAACCTTAAGATCTATTTGTAACCTTCTTGCGGCGATGCTGAGTCATAGCAAGCATTGCGGTCATCTGAGCACGGATCAAAGATGAAGTGAAGATCAAATCTACAGGAATGTTGCTAATCTTCTTGCCAGCTTCAATAGCTTCTCCCACACCTTTCTGAGTCAATGGCACATCAACACAACCCGTGAACAGATTCTTCTCATTCCATAACGATTCTCCATGCCTAATCAATATTAAGGCAGCTTCATCTAAACACATAGGAAAACAAGTACACTTAATTCAACGTTTTTCTTCTCCATCACTCTTTTTTTCTTTCTCTTAATATATAATGAGACAAAGCAGCATACTGGATTTCTTCTTGGATTCAAAAGGTTTGTTCTTGGAAGGAGACAGGACAGTATTGCCAATGACAGAAACCTGAGATGATGCAGTTGCTTCAATCTTGAATCTTTTTGGTATAAAATTCATTGGTACATTCAAAGGCTCCTTAAGAAACTGAGAAGCTCTGAAAGGTCTATGAGAGACGGTAGACCCGATCGCTTGGTGAGACATAGTCGTAGAAGCCATTTTGCCAGATATTCCCTAAAAATCATAAGGGTTTTTAATTCTACAAACATAGCAACAAACAAGAATCTTAAAAGCAAAGTGGCTAAAGATCTCAAATTCGATACCCAAAATCACATTCTATACTTTGGCATTAACAAATTGGATGAAGAGGGGAAATTGAAAAATCGAATGCTGAAACATACAAACCTGTTCTAAATGGCGACGAAACCAAAGATGGAGAAGAAAAGGGACAAATGAGAATTGATTGAGAGTACACGTCGATGATTACAGTAAATCCTACCTAACTAAATGTTTGATTCAAAAGATCGAAGCTTTTTATATAGTGGGAGTTGTGGCGAGAATGAAAAAATCTCTCCTTTATGGCTTTTACGTGTAGGAAAGAGACAAGTTGAAATGGGAACACGACGAGAGGGTTGTTGTTGTTGTTGTTGAAGGAGGCGTTTTGACGTTTTTTATTTTTTTGGGTCGATTTGGTTTCGTATTTAATTGTTTAGGGTTTATTATTTGCTTGTTGTGTAGCTTTCTTGACGGCGACGAACTGGGTTTGACATTTGGCAATTTCCAGTTATATGTTTCAGCCTTTCAGGTTTCTGCCTTACTTGGTTGGCCCTTTCTGCAAATCTCGTGATTCTTGTTTGTTTTTGGTTATTTCATTTATTTTATTATTTATATTTTTCGAGTTTTTTTTTTCTATCTTTTACAACAATTATGCACAAATAACTACAATTATAGTTTGATTATATGCCTGTTAGTTTTTGTCTGCAATTGCTGACATTCTAATGTTATATACAATTTTGAATTAATAGTAAGTCATACAAAGTCTTCAGAGATTGATTATTACGAACATATGGTTTAGTTGTAATTGTCACAAGAAGGCATGAATTTTTTTCCTTTTTTAATAGATTTATGGCACAAACAAAATATAGAAAATTATTGTGAACATATTATTATTTTACAGAAGAAAGGTGAATCTTTGATCTCTCTAATCTAATTACTTGGTGTGCTGATGATATAAAGACCTACATAAGCTCTCTTTTTTCTTCTTAAGTTTAATACTGTTATATGGGTATATTTTGAGTTTGGTGATGCAGAGGGGTTGGTCAATGTGAAATAAAGTTTGCTTTTGAGTTTTTTACCCCAACAACCATTTTGTGATGAATGATGATGGCATAATTTGCGTATAATGTAGGTGTTTTTTTTTTTTGCTCAATTCTTATAGAGGCCCATCAAAGTCCATCAATATCTTTGTTTTAGATGGATAAGAGGGTGTATACTTTGTTGTAGCCTAACTATATGGAAAGACTGAATTGAGTTTATTTTTGTCATGGACGTTTTTTACTTTTTAGTTTATTAACATCAGAACTAGTAATGGTTTTTAGTAAATTGCCATTACTAAAGAAGATTCTAGGCAAAGGGTTTTAAAAAAAAAAAAGGAAACAGTAAGTCAGTAACTAAACTAGAAAGAAATATGCAACTAGAACAAAATAGAAAGTTTTTTACCCAAACCTAAATAACGGCTAGATTATCACCGAACCTAAACACTCTTGTCAGTCAACTTATATATAGAGGGAGAGAAAGATGCAGTTACATGGCTCTGCTCTTGAATTTTTTGTTTATAACGATTCTCTTGTTGGTTTGCTTCTATTTCGTCTTTCATTTCTTAGAGTATTCATTGTTAGATTTGTTCCTATCCTCTTTTCGAAATCTTCACCAAAGCACAGACCATAGAAGAGGCAGAGAGGCGTGAATTGGAAGATGATGACTGCTCTTATTCCTTTGTTTTAGAATCAAGGAATGGTGATGGTTGAAAAGCGTGAATGGATCCGACACTACGAAGAGGGAAGATGTGAGGAGCTGGATCAAGAAGATATGAACAGCAGCTTTCTCACATCAGTCACGTTTGGAGACGTCAGAAACATCTCATCTTATTCAGCCCAGCAAACAGTAAAAGATTTTCAACCTTTTAAATAGTCACAAAGCCCATGAAGAAACTGAGGTCGATTTCTACTCATCATTTTTTTTTTTGGGCTTGGTCTGGGAGTTGTTAGTTCTCTTCTTTTGATGCTTCGTTTTATTTTCTTTGTTCTGTTCCTTCTTTCAATGAGAAAACTAAGAAGAGCACCTTAATTACTTGTATAATTAGTACCAGTTACGCCTGCATAATATATACCAAGCTAGGATCAATGGAACCTCACTAATCACTATACCAAGCCAGGATCGGACGAAGAATGAAGAGTATTTTTAATAATAAAAGACATTTCCAGAGCAAGGAAATGACACATCAACATATAAGAAGACGCTTACACAAACAGAGTGTCTCCGATCACCAGAGTCATCATCATCTTCTTCTAAGACCAAATAAGTAAAATCAAACAAATACAAATATATCTCTCCTTCGTTACCCGAAACTCTCAACTCATTAAATGATGAAAACAGCAAATCATAAAAGATTAAATTATAGAGAGAGAGTTATTATTCAGAGATGGCTTTTAATATCATCCTCGTCTTCATCAACCATGTACTTCTGGAAGAGTGCAGAGCAGAAGACATCACTGACTTCTTTCTCGAATCCCATGTTGTTAGCATGCCTGATCTGCGAGGCGATGCCACTGTAATGGTTCAAGATCACGCGGGACTGCTCGCGTCCGACGGAGATTTTGCCGCAGGTTTTGTCAGAGCTTTTGACAAGCATAACGTCGCACATCTCGTCTTTGTGATCTTCGTGGACAATGAACTTGTAGTATCCTTGTTTGTCTGATACAGCTTCGTCTGAGTAAGTCTCCTCCATTGTCTGTCTGTGTTTGCACACAAGCTTCACAGTCGCACCTGTTATATGTATATTTAGCAAAAACAACCATTACCACCACCACCCCAATCAAGATCTGTGAACTTGATAATGAAATTTCTTGAACAAATCAATGAAAAAGGCCAGATCTAGAGCAAAAGCAGTTAAAACTAAGAGCGTAGAGGATCAAAACTATAAGTAAACCACTAAGATCCAACAAATCCAAGATTCAGAACTTAGATCTAAAAACTAATCCACTAGAATCAAAATACTTAAAGACAGTGTTAACTTTTGAAATTGTTCAGATCTCGAAGCAAGAACTAAGGATTTAAAGAGAGATTGACGTACCGGGGATGAAGTAGGAGGATTCAGGAGTCTCGAAGCCGAACTTGCAAGTGTCACAGTAAGTGCGACCTTGAACCACCATTGTATTCTTACCAATTCTTCCCCTCCTTGCCGCCATGGCAATCGCCGGCAAAATACAAAGAACCAACAACATCACCAGTTTCGCCATTTTCGTGAGAGAGAGAGAGAGAGAGAGAGAGAGAGAGCAATGGATTTGTTGGGGTGAGAGAAGGAAGGAAGCAAATGAAGAAGATAGTGAGAGAAATTTAAGAGTGGAGCGAATCTAGGCAAAAAAGAGCCAAGAAGATGAAAAGCGCGTGAGATTTAAACCCCACACACCCACCGTTAACTAGAAAAATAAACTACTATTGTATTAATCTGGGGGGGTGTTTTATTAGTATGATCGCAATTTTAGTATGAGAAGAGGGGCTTTTTCGTCAGGTTAGTATATGAATATGGTTACGTGGCGTTTTCTGATTGGATAGATAAAGAGTTTGGCAAAAGAAAAGAAAAAAGGCGGTGCGTTAGCGTGATTGCAGCTGGATCGTAGTAATACTCGTATCTGTCGGTGCTCACATGTCAAAGAAAAGCATCAAACCAAAAATTAAATGTTCACTACCTTTTTTATAATGCAGAACAAAATTAAGAAAAGGCCAAAACAAATGATAATTATTTGAGATTACCAACAAAAAAAAAAAAAGAGTTAAATCCTTTGGACCTCTCATTGGCCCATTTATAAGTTTTGGCCCATTATGGCACTTTAGCCTTTATGTGTTGGATCACTAATTTATTCATTCTCCTAAAACTCTTGGGCTTTGAAATGAGAAACTTTTGTTGGTTATCAACACAGTTGCATTTTGCAAGTTTGTGATAAGATATCACACATGCCTTTTATTTGGGAGCTTATTAATTTCGAAGTTCTTACCACACATATATGTTTTATATGTTTTCAAGTGAGCTAAGATCTATAAGTTGCAAAACCAGACTTAAGCGAATCATAGTATATAACGAGTGTGTGACATAATACCCTAATTGTGTGGTTTACCTATATGATTTGAGGAAAATATAAAGATTGATAGGTGTCATCGATATGGGATACAAACTACAATGTCCAAATACGTTTTTACGTAGTATCTTCCAATAGTGAAAGCATGTTTTGGAATCATCACACTCCTATCTAATCGCAGGTCGTCTAAAGACAAACGCCATAAGACTTATACTACATATCCTATCCTATACGTAATTACGTATTTTTAAAAACCATTCTAGTGCTTTGTGTGGTTGTGAAATTAAATAGAGCTCATGTTTTAATTATTATACAGAAAAATATGTGAGGGGACTTTTTATACGACCTATAAGCAAGTGGGGCATGAAAGTATAATATCTAAAATCAGATCAAGAATGTAACTGAGAGATACCAATTGAGTATGTTTTTTTGTTTTATGTATCACTCTTAATAAATATATACATACGTGAGATTATTGTTAAAGTCCAATTTAAGAAATAAATGAACTGTTTAGAAAAGCTATAAACATATGTGATTCGGACCCTCCCATGAGCTGTTCTTCCCACTTGTCTTTGCTTAATTTGGATGGAACAATTCGATCCGCAATTTATAAAACGGGCCGACACTACTGATGGATAGATAGATCTAAATAAAAATAATGAAAGATGAAAAATTAAAATCAAAGTTTGACATAAAGGCGTAATAACTAACATGCGTGAGTGTTATTTTAGTGTGTTGTCGTAATTCAAACGGAAAGAAACATACGGCAGTGCTTTAGATGTGATTAAGTTTAATTAATATCAAAGCTCGACGACTGTAATGAAACTCCTAAGCCACTAATGCCATTAAATAAAATACAACTTTAGCCTTTCTCAAGTGTACTTAACCTTGTATTATATCATTAAGTACCCTATATTAGACTCGAAGTAAAAAGGATCAATGCCATTTATTGTGTATTGTACAACTGGATTAACAAAATTTAAATAATGGATTGGTATATTCGCACGTGTAATCCTGATATTCTTATCCCCATACTTGCGAATTTCTTTCTAAAGAAAATTAGCAGTAGAGCCATAGAGTAACGAGACAAGTTCTTATTTCTTGTCCCCTCCTAAAAAACAAAAACCACATACATTAACACCAAGAAATATATAGCACAAACTCTATTTTATTTGGTTAGCCAACGCTTTGTTCTGAGTTGTTATCTCATACTTCTGTTTAGCCATACGATCATTTTGTCAAAATATGCATCCTTGTGTTAGCTCATACTTCTCTTTATAACCAAATGGTCATTTTGTGAAAGTATGTATGCATCCTTGTGTTAACTCTGTCCCTTTTGGAAAGCTCAGATTAGAAATATACAATTCCTAGAAGTTAGAACTTTCATCACAATGGATACATGCAATATATAATAACGAATCATTTCTGGAGGCTATTATTCTCAGTTTCGAACCATCTGCTTTGGTCGAGAAAGATGCCAAACAATCTTCCAAAATATAGATATTCAGAGTTCTTTAAATAGACATTTTTAATTTAGTTTTTAAAAAAACATAATTAGACAGCTTTTGTTTCGTAAAACAATGATTAAGGAGCGTGAATGCTAGGTTGGAGAGGTCAAAAGGGACGTTGGAATTCAGATAGTTGGCCAAATTTGATGCTGACACATGCCAATTTGGCCAAGTGGGTGTATTATATATTCTATTTACTCTCACTTAAATACCTTAAAAATGTTTATTATCAACTTGCTATGACAAAGTTTATTCACAAAGCAATCTTACAATACGTTGTGATGTAAAATTTCTTATATACATATAGATGATCGTTAATACGTTTTGCTACAACAAAGATTGTTTTCTTTTGCTGCTAATTAAGACTTTATATGCTTAGATATTTGTATAATGTTTTAAATAGAGTATGCATACAACAAAGTGGAAAAATGGTTGCGTTAGTCATCATCTCGTTTAAAAATAAGTTACTTTCCAAAAGTTTGTATTTTTCTAAGTGTTTACCAAAAGTTTTAAAACAAATGGGGTGGGGAACACTGAACACACAAGGAAAAAATGTCATTAGGAATCTGTCAAAAACTGTAACGAACTTTAAAGACAACAAAGAAAGAAAAGAAAGAAAGAAAAAAGAGAGAATCTATTAAAATTTTCTATTGGTGGGAAACTGGGACCATGCTGATTAAGCATGAGATTCCTGACTCGATCAGCATCGTATTTTTTAGTTAAACATTTGTTCTATTTTAATTTTACAATATGATTTATAAGTTATATATATAATTCATATACGATCAAACAACTTATATATATGTATACATTTGTGTATAAAAAGTACATAAAGGCAACAGCCAGTACAAACTTATACATCAACTTTAAGTTGACCTAGTTTGAAATTTTTTGGAACTAATTCTCCACTATAATAAACATTATTCATCACAGGTTTAATGTTTGTGTTTTCAGGAAACAAAAAAAAAAAACAAAGAAGAAGAAATATTTCTTCGTAATCTCCGATGATGTTATAGAACCTATGATACATAAATTATTACAGCTAGTTTCTTCAATTTCAATTTGTTTTTATCGTTGATTCTAAAGAAAATCTTGCTGACTTGCTCCAATCTCCTAAAATGAAACCTCACCCACATAAATTCATTGCAAAAAATACGTAATCTTAAATTGTTTCTCATTAAGTAGTTGATAAAGAGACAAGTCTCACATACATTTGATTTTTCTTATTTCATATAGATCAAAACTTGTAACACTTGAACCCTCGGGAAAATCATCTAATTTCAACCACAACAACACACGAGGGTGATTAACACGGTTAATCAATCACAGTTAATTAATCGCATAATGCTTTATATATGTATCACCCATCATAATCATATACAAACACATAGCAAACCAACACATATATTATATAGAGCTATATATATATATGTGAAAATGGGGTGGGGTGGGGGGGATTACACTGCGGCTGCGGCTCTTCCTTTGCCGGGCTTCGCTCTCGCCGGGGCTGCCACGGCCGCTGTTTCTTTCACCGGCGCTGATTTACCCTTCTCTTTCCTCTCATCTTGTGCCATTTGCTCTTGTCTACACTCTGAGCTACAAAAGGCCTTATCTCCCCTGCCATTTTAATCACACACAATTTATCATTAATTAGTAATCCAACACTCCATCATATTAAGTAAATATCATAATTCATTCAAATAAGCTAAATCTGATGTTATTTGAAGGCACATATATATATATATCAATGTAAGTATTACGTCACGTATGCAAAATTTACCAGCAATAAAAAGTATATGTTATGAAATTTTACTACAATCAAGATTTGAGTATAGTATACCTATACATGTAGATGTCACGGCCAGGAACAAGAAGACGTTCGCAAAGCGAGCAAGATCTCAAGAAATGTCCAGCGTCGGAGAAATCGCCAGAGTGTCTCCTCGGGTTACCTCTAGGTGAGACCATAGACAAGAGCCGTTGATCTAAGAACCCACGGTTTTGATCAGCGGCTGGTGTTACTAGTTGACCGTTGGAAACGTACGGTCCTACGGCAGTTGGATTCTGTTGATCTGATGGCTCTGATTCGCTGGGAAGGTTCAGATCGAACTTTATCTCTGATAGACTTGTGGTTCTGTTAATCGGTGGACGCTGTCTCTTTCCGAGCAACATCGTATAACTTTTTGTGTGTGTGTGAGTGTGCTCTGTTTCTTTGCGATATGAAGCTCTGAACAGAGCAAATCTTGAGAGAAAAAGAGAGAGGGAAGAGGGAAGAGGAGGGAGTGAGGAAGGAGAAGAGACAGGGAAGATAAAGAAGAACCATAAACTGAGGACTCAATCTACACCGTTGATTTATCTCATCTTAGTTATGTTCTCGTCACGATACTGCCACGTCATGATTCTGAACATTTATTTTTCAAAAAGAACATTTTATTGGCATTAATTCTGTTTGTACTTTCTAATAATGTAATAATGTTAGTTGGTCGAACTTGGTTAAAAAAAAAAAGACATTTGCATGGTGTAGATGATTTTCAAAATGTGTTTCTTATCATTTTATATGTGTCTTACGTAAGATATATTTATCAATTTAAGTCCAGATCTAATAGTGTAATGATATTTGTGTTTATGTAATTTGTTTGGTAGACAAAATCTAAAGCTAATGTTTACATAAGCAACTGGTTTTTTGTTTGAGGAACCTTATTTTTCTATTGATCTTATATAATATTGGTAAATGTTAACCAGAATAAAACAAAACTAGAAAATCTAGCTAGATAGTGAGTGAAATTAAAATCATCGTATTTACTATACCTCAAAGTTACAGTTTCTTTCAATGCATCATCTTACAGAAACAAAAAAAAATAAAGAAAAAAAAATGTTCAGCAAATCATTTCGCAGAAGGGCCCGTTTGGGCCCAAAAAGGACCCACTAAGCTAACAATAATTAACTTTCCACATCATACGATAGTAGCCCCCAAGAATTAATTGTCGATTTCAAACCCAGTCATTTTCTTCCAAGAAACTAAAATCCAAAAATATATAACAATACAAATAAATACTCTATATATTTTGCAATTTATAAAATAAAAAATTTGACATGAAAGAAAAATTTGAAAAGGAAATGTTGTTATTTTTGGTTCCTAACGTCTGGGCTACCAAAAAAAAGAAGAAAAAAGGACCACCTTCTTCTTCTTCTTCTTGTGACAACAATGTTTTATTTATATTTTCTCACTATATAAAATTTCAATTTGGCCTTTGCAGTTTTATAGAGCCTTTCTCTCGTTTCTCCACTTCACATCTCTCACCAAATTTCAACATTTATTTTTCTTTTTACCTTCATTTTAATGTATGACGATTTTAATGCCAAAAATAAAATGAATATATCATGGGGGAGATGATATATACTCATATCAAAAGCTACTCTTGCCTGGTTCCTTAAAGAATACAATAATAATATGTGATCGAAAACCACAACAAAAGCATTATGCTGATTGGTGCATTGTGACCTCCTTCACATAGAAAATTAGAGATATAAAATAAAAATAAAAAACAGACTTGGCATAATGTACCAAAATGGGTCGGGTCTCAAGTCTCAACATCGTAGGTCTTGAAGAGAGATCTCTCTAACTCTAAATTGTTATTTTAATAAATTAATAAATAAAAATAGTATAATTTTACAAGGTAAAAACAATTTGAAACCTAAAAGTTTAAGTAGCTATACAGTGTAATATGAAAATGGCAGTGGTAAATGATAGCAATAAAAATATGAGGACAATATAAAGGAAGGTATAAGAGAAACACAAGTGGGTTAGTGGTTCTCATTTCTGTTGCCTTCTCACCAGATCCGGGTTCAAGTCCGATCCCTTTCAAAAAGAGACGTATAATTTGTAATGATGAAAAAAAATATATATATAAAGGAAGGTACAAAATAATTGGTTGTACAAAGATGAATTGAATTGGTGATAGAAAGTAGTATATGTAGTGAGAGATAAAAATTGGCAGAATACGTTGGCAATCTCATTGAATGGGTTACATACACATTAGACATTAGCACCAACACAATGTCATGAATCAGTGTTTCAAGATGGAGCTACATGTTTCAAGATGGTATGTGAAGAAAAGAGCTACCATAGACGTTGATTACAAGTTCAATGTCAATCCTCTAGTTTTTGTGAACTGATATATATCTCTATATATATATATATCTATATATATCTCTATATATATATATATATATTAATTCTCTCTATCTCTAATCTCTCTCTATATATATATATATATCTATGTTGGGTATAATATATATATATATATATATATATATATATATATAAATAATATCACAAACATATGATAATACATGATGTAAATCTGTAATACAACATAGATATCTCACGATTATGTAATGTTTGTACATGTGATATATACAATTTACTCTTTAACTAACCATGTACGACCAATATTTATATGCATTTGTGTCTCTTTTTTTCTTCTTTTTAGATTTGTATTTAAATGAGAAATGACAATAAAAGGTTTTTATTGAAAAAACTGAATTTTTATTGAAAACTGAAACTGATGTGGAGTTTTGGTGGTAATATTAGATGATTTGGTTTGGTATGATTGAGAAGACAAGTGGACATAGCTGAGTCAAAAAAGTGAAGAGACATTAATAATTTTTTTAATTTAATTTTCTTGACATCTCTCTCTGATTCGTTCTTGTTTTTGGACACAATAACAAAAAGGGTTTTTATTGTATTTATTGTATTATTTTCTTCTACAGTAACCAATAATATAAAGAAAAAACATATTTGGTCCCAATTTTCCAAATATCAATTGATAGTGGGCCCTTTTCTCTTTCACTAGTGGGCTTCAACATCTCTGGTCCACTTTCTTCATTATTATTATTATTATTATTATTATTATTTTGGGGGTCTGTCATGTTCTTTTCCATTATTATTATTTTCTTTTGACAATTGTTTGCTTCTTGTTGTTAGTAAAATGTTTGCATGTAAAATTTGACAAATCCGGTAATAGTAATTTTAAATCTAAACTATAAGCATAACTTTTGATTTGTTTATAAGTTAGAAACGATTTAAATAAATTATTTACCGATACAAAATTTAGCAAAAATGGAGGATAAGACCTCTTCAGATACATCTTCTCCACTGATCTGAGCAAGAGCCATAGCAGCTTCTCTCAGCTCTATCGTCCAGAAATCTATCGGAAGATGCTCATCCTCCTCTATCGCTTCTCTCAGCCTCACTAGCGCTTCTTTCGTCCTCACCAGTTGCTCGCATTGTCTCTGATAATAAAATTTTAAAAAGGGGATATAAATGCAACATTCACAAGTTAATGGACAGAAACATAATCAATCAGGTAGACTGACCTGATTCACGGTCCATTGGTGTCCTCCTGTGGGGACACGATCAAGGCCAAGAATCTCCAATATTGCATCTTCTACCTCTTCAATCCCTTGACCAGTTACTGCAGATGTGAACACAGACTTATGGAATACTTTTTCCTTTTTTCTCTCTTCTTCTTCTACTAGTTTATCACTACAATCAGCTGGAGCACAATCTATTTTGTTCATCACCAGTATCATTGGCTGTTTCAAGAAAAGGTCATAAAATGAGACTAGTAGTGTGGGGAATATAATCAAAGAAAACGTGAACATGGAATTTACCTTATCAGATTGAATCTTATGTAGCAGCTCAGTGTCTTCTTCAGTCCAGCCTTCTACAGCACTCACCGCCATGATTATTACATCAGCAACCTTTGCAGCTGTCTCTGATCTTTCAACACCTGCACAAAGAATTTCAATAATTATCTATCAAGAAATGAGCTTTGGCAAAGATCCCCTCCAGGTCTTAATACCGACCTATTTTTTCGACAATGTCATTGGTTTCTCTGATACCAGCAGTGTCAAGAAGTGTGATAGGCACACCACGGACTGTAATATTAGCTTCCACAACGTCTCGAGTAGTTCCCGCAACTTCTGTAACAATTGCTCTCTCACTCTGCACGCTAAAATTAAAGCACCAGTGGAAATGTGACTCCATTTGAATAAACACGTTGCAACTTTCAGTTTTTACAATAAATGACAGAAAAGATCATTCTGTTTCATACTTTGCTCCAGGCATTTAGAAGACTTGATTTCCCCACATTCGGACGCCCAACAATAGCTATCTGCAAAGTTTCAGTAAGAAAGACAAACAAAAAATGAAATACCATACACTTAAAAAGCTTCAAACATGTCCAAAACGCATATTGTTCTTAAAAATTACCTGCAACCCGCTTTGAAGAATCTTGTCATAGTTTGCTGTATCTAACGCACCTTCTACGTCTTCAGACATGCTGTTTATTTTGTTAATTACTAAGTCCATATCCAACGGCGGCATTTCGTCCTCAAAGTCTAAACGAGCTTCAATTTCAGTGAGGAGTTCAATGCACCGATCTCTTAATGATTTCACCAAAGATGAAAACCCTCCCTAAAGACAAAGAGTAGAGAAGAACTTGGAAGTTAATAACAAATGATCTTAGGAAATGTCCCGCTAAGTTATTGAATTATCATAAAGAATCACAAAAGGCATGCCTGAATCCCTTCCAAAGCAGCATCTGCAGCAGCAGAAGACTTGGCCGAAATCAGTTTCTCAACATTTTCAGCTTGCGATAGGTCTAACCGCCCATTTAGAAAGGCACGAAGTGTAAACTCTCCTGAATAAGTAAAACTCACAGATGAGTCAAACATCGATTAAAGAACCTGATTCTACTAAATCTTACAACTAAAGCCCACAAATTAAGTTAGACATAACTGAAGAAACTCAACGACCAAATCTACGGATAGAATTAGAGTCTCTAACCTGGTTCTGCTAATCGTGCTCCAGCTTCAACACATGTCCTCAGAACACGCCGCAGACAAACTTCGCTCCCATGACATTGGAGTTCAACTACATCTTCTCGAGTGTATGACCGAGGAGCCAACATAGGCACAGCTAAAACCTAACAAGCAGTTACACTTCAATGATCAGAACACTTGAAAATATATAACCAATCTAATGTAATTTGATTGCGAAGAAATCGAAAACAGAAAAGTGTGGATTAGCTAAATTTGACAAGTTTCCAATTGTACCTCGTCAACAACATTGCCATTTGAATCGACAACAACTCCATATTCCACGAAATGACTCGTGGGCCGCCATGAATCCGAAACCGAGTCCTTCTTCCTGCTTTTCTTAGCAGAACGAAAGACCCTTCTTGCAACTTCCACAGCATTAGGACCTGACAACCGAACGATTCCCACCGCACCAGGTGGCCCACCGATCGGAGTTACGATTGCCACAATTGTACTTGCGCTCTGAAACCGATCAACGTTATTGACTGTATCGTCGACTTTGCCCAGAAGACCCACCACACGCTCATCGCCTTTGAACACAATAGAATTGTCATCTGCAACAATTAGAATGAAAAGAAAGAAAAACACATTAGGAATAGGGTTGAGATCAAATTAGTAGCCTAAGGATTCGTTTCAATGGCCCTTTACCTGATGACGCAGCGAGAGGTTTAAAAAGAGGGGTTTTAGGAGACGAAGAAAATAAGAGAAAGCAGAGATTTTTGGGGACGGGTCTTGAGATTCTTCGGCCTCGAGTTATGATCGGCGTAGCTTGTCGGAGAAGGTGAACGCCGACTGAACGGAAGGAGAGGAGAATCGACATTGACACTGCAACCTAAGCGCACGGATAACGCCGACGGCGGCAACGGATACAAAAGAGAGAGAAAACTAAAACGCTGCGTTTATCTTTTCTTTTTCTACAAATAAATGGGCTTTAGTGAACCAACATGGGTATACGCTTTTATCGAATAAAGCCCAATAACTATGACTTGTAAGAATTAAGAACGCAGTTTTCGTTTGCGTTACAAATAGTAGAAATAATCGAAAAAGAAAAGAAATAATAGAAAAATTAAAAAGAATGGAGAGGACTCTTTGGATCTCTCACTCACGAGTAGGATTAGTATATGATCAAATTTTTGGACAGACAAGAAAATACAATTGTTTAGCAACACAAACTTGCAAAAAAAGATTACCACCAAATTGTGTTAATTTGTATCTCCCTTTTAGATTCCAAACTTTATTGTTTAATTTTTCAGCAATAAACACACTATAATTTAATAGAACAGGGACATAGATGATATTTGATTAATTATAAATACTTTGAAATAAGTTAATTTATCTAGAAAATTTTGAAAATCAACATATATATATATATATATATCACTTTTTAAATCCGTTTAATTTTTAATATTAATTTTGAAATCCAACATTAAATTGCCATATAAAAAATATAATTTCAACTAGTACAGTGTTTAGAAATCAATGAATAAATAACACATAGTATCATTAACATAGTTTGTCCAAAAAAAAAAAAAAGTATCATTAACATAGTTTACGTATTATTATTATTTTTATGGGATACTGCCCAATAGAAAAGGAGTTATTAAAACGCAGCGCAGCGTTTAGGTTATCAAAGAGACAAAGACTGTAAACCACTCCACTCGTAAATGAATGTGGCTATGTTTCTGATCCAGATTCAAACTAAATTTATTCCCCAACCTATCCACTTGACTTAAATATGATTCCTTTGTGCTGCTAACTTGCTAAGGATAAGGTCATCTTTTTATTTTTCTTTTTGTCAACATTATGAATACGATAATCTTTTTTATTATAAACAATACGGTTTTAAAATTCCAACTGGATTATTGAGTTCCCATTTGATTTAACCAAATTATTCCTGATAAAATAGATCTCCTACGTTGGAGTTGGACATCCTGATCATAGTTGTTATAATACAATTTGGGATTTTAAACTGATTATGATCGAAATTTTTCAATTTACAAAACTTTATTAAAGCTAAAAAAAAAAAAGTAGTAGTATAGAACAACAACAAGACGCTAAGATGGGGACACAGAGGTCAACTTTACACTTGACCTCTTATATTTGATAGAAGAATCATATACCAAGAGGGTCCAAAGACCAAAAATACAATTGAAGGCTAAGGTCACTTTCTTAACTCTACTGTACAGCACTTGGGGAGAGCATCTCCTTCTTCTTCTTCTTCTTTCTTGTAAATTTCAGACCTCTTCGGACAGTTTTGGACAGCAAGCTTCGACGGCGTCAGCCACCGTCAGATATATATGGTCTTGTCCTAACATGTCGGCAAAGTGCGACAAGTGTAGCTTGCCTATCACCAACGGTCCAGGATTCGCCAGAATCAACTGTTTATTATCACAAACACTCAGAATCAGGTAAATCTTCTTCTACTGAATTTATTTTATTTTGACTATTGCTTAGATGATATAATCTTTAAATTCAAGTCTCTGTGTATATGTACCTGAATGTCTCTTTTTTGGAGAGACTTGTACAAGTCTTCTAAGGCATGGATACCACTTGTATCGATGTCCGTAACAGCTGAAAAAAAATAATGGTGTCCGTGTTAATCTTTGTTTCTAAGCAAAACAAAAATAAAAATTGTGATAACTAAGAAGGGATTAATTAAATAAGATTAAAGTTTAACTTACGTGACATTTCGATGATGAGAAACTGAATCCTGGGTAGGCTTGCTGCTTTGACTTTTTCTTCTTCCTCATGTAGCCATCTCAGGATCCTATAAATTACAAGGGTTTCCGATTTAACATTCTTGTGAACCAAGTAACAAGTCTTGGTTTAGATTAAACTTTTGTTTAAGGTTTTTACCTTTCTCTGACGTAGTTTGAGTTGGAGAAGTAGATCGCTGAGTCAACACGAATAGTAAGAACCCCTGGAACCATAGTGGCTTCAGGATACTGTTGAATATTCCTGTAAACCGAAGTTCTTGGAATATTTCCGAGAACTGCAGTTCTAGGTCTTGTTACTTGCAAGAGGATCTTAGCAAACGAGATAGAGACCTGTCCATAAACAAACATGAGCAAATTAAGACTAAAGGGAATTAGATTCATCATTATACATATAGGGTTTAATTTTCTTAAGATGTACCGCAATGAGAAGTCCAATCTCAACGGAAACAAAGATGACGCCAAAGAAAGCTCCCATACAAGCGATGAAATCGAGCTTATCGACCTTGAAGATCAATATAGCAGCTTGGATATCGATCAAAGGAATCACGGCGTTGATGATGATAGCGGCGAGGATGGCGTTTGGAGTGTACTTAAAGAGAGGTGTGAGGAAGAGCAATGTCAAGAGAACGACGATTGACATTATGATGTTAGAAACCGCTGTATGACATCCAGCCATGAAATTGACAGCTGATCTTGAGAACGATCCAGTAGCAACGTAGCACGAAGACATCGATCCAACTACGTTCATCATGCCTAATGCTACCATCTCTTTATTACCGTCGATTTGGTAGTCTTTCATCGCTGCAAAGGTTCTTCCAATCGCCACAGCTTCCTGTCAAAACATATTGAAATATTCGGGTTTTCGATGAGGAAAAGTTTCTTTAGGACTATTAGTCTTGAGAGATTGAAGTCTGAGTCGTTGACTTGGAGTCACTTACTGTTAAAGCGACCATGCCTGCGACTACACCGATGCGGATTCCCTTAGCAAGGTTATCACCGGAAAAGTATATTTGGTGGAAAGAGGAAGGGTTTATGCCTTGGTCAAGGTGTTTCACCTTCATTTATCAAAACAGGAGACATTGTATTAGGTATTAACTAATTGTTTGAGGTGCAAGTAACTACTTAGAGTAGGTTGATATATCTTACGATTTGGACTCCTTGTTTGTCTGCCCGGGTTATGTAGACGAAGAAGGTAGAAATGATAACTGATATCAATGGCGCAATCGCTGGTACCCAGAAAAGTTTCTTACTCTTCTTCCCCTGTTTCAGCATCAAACCAAGAGAGATTAACATCGATCAGCTCATAACATAAATGAAGAAACTATATATTTGATGTTGTGTTAAGAGATATATGTCTTACAATGAACTTAGAGGTGAGAAGGAAGGTCAGGAATGATGCACCAATGAGTATAGTTTGCCAATTCCACTGCAGAGCCAAAAATGATAAGTATTAGTGAAAGGATTAAAATGATGCACAAAATAAAGAACAGAGTGTTTAGATTAGATAAAGCAAAAGAAGGATTCGTACGCCGTGATGAGCGGAACTGAAAACGGAGTCAAGAACAGCAACCATATCGGTTTTCTTGGTGAATTTCTTGATCCCGAGGAAGCCTTTAAGCTGCTGGAGAGCGATAGTGATGGCCGCGCCACCCATGAAGCCCACCACAGCAGCGTGGGACAGGAAATCGATCAAGAACCCTAATCTGAGAGTAGTAAAGAAGAAAGGTGAACATTTTAAGAGCCTTTTCGATAGAAAGAAACTGTTAATGGATAAAGAGATCAATTTTACCTGAAGAATCCAAGGGCTGCTTCGGTGATACCGGCGAAAAACGTGGCAGTGAAGGCAAGGCGGAGATATTCATCAGGATTTGTGTTTGGATCAATCTCAGCTTGAAGCAAAGTGCCTAGCAACAGAGAAACCACAGCAACGGGTCCGATTGCTATATCTCTTGAACTCCCCATACAAGCATACACCAACGGAGGAACAAAACTAGAATCTGTAAAATCAATATCAACCATATTATTTGATTTTTTTTAGATTTTATCCCCTGTTTTTCAAATGAGGTCAAGTGTGATTAATTAAGAGTAAGTCAATATCAAACTTACATAAACCGTATTTAGGATCAAGATTAGCCAACTTAGCGTACCCAATATCCTGTAATGATCATGGAATATAAGCAACAGAGCAAGCGTAGATAACTTGTCATACAAGTAATAGTGTAATTGAGTTTAGGTTTTTTCACCTGAGGAATGCAGAGACTTGCGATTGTTAAACCGGAGATGAGATCGCCTCGGAACTTCTTGAGATTGTAGTTACGACCCCAGTCGAAGACCGGGAAGACGGACTGGAGACCAAGCATAAACTGCTTAGACTTGGGCTGATCCTTAAAATCCCTAAGAGGATCATCGTGGAAGAAGGTTTCTTTGAATGTGTACATGAAATCCTTAAACATGTTCTGCTTCGGTGGGATCCCAACTTTATGCCGGTGGGGAGAAGATTTGATCGGAAGATCACCACCATCCGTAGCCGGACTTAAATCTCCTCCGTCCACAGGGTGAGCTCTCGACGTCATAGCTAGGTACGTATCTCTGCAAACAGAACAATAGACTTAGTTAAGTTAGTTTTATATGTTTTATGAGACTATGAAAAAATGTGTGAATGGAGTAATGGAATCGAACCAGGGGAAAGATAGATAGATAGCTGGAAACGTGAGTAAAGTGGATATTTTGGGTTTGTAGGTGACTTTTTAAGTGTGGTTTTAGAGCAACATTTATGAACCCTTATTTATAATGAAAATTATAGGAGACATTATTAGCTTTTATTTAATTAAAATTATAAGCGAGTGTCATCGTGTACTTGTGATGAATCTGGATTACTAAGAGACCAAGTACATTACTAAAATTGAAAAGTCTAACTTGAAATGGATGCAATTTTTTTTTATATTTGGCTCGATCGACATTAAATATAAAAGCAAACCAAGTCAATGGTTTTTGTGGTTTTGTGTGCAAAATTGAGAACAATCTCTAATTCTCAATTCAATGATCTCGTTTACTTTCTGCCATTAGGAGAGATCGTTGACTAGAACAGCCACGTGGCAGATAGTGAGATCTTTTATAAATATTAAATATGGTAAATGCTAACAGTTATCCCTAAATAAATGACGAAAATTTAACGCTAATTATTCTCTTTCAGTTTTCAGTACTTTTAATAGAATAGTATTTGGAATTTTCCGAATTTTTTCATCGCTTTTGCTTGAACATAGATTTTAGAAACAAAACCTAAAAAACAAACCTAACTGAACAGAATTTAGATAGAAGACCAAAGAAACAACATATGAGACCTAACTCATAAGTTCTATATCGGTGGTGGTTTTCAAATATGAGCTTGATTGGTATATATATACTTTTTTTTTTGTAGAAAGTATATATATACTTGAACATACTGTATTTTTAACATCTAATGATGTTTTTAAAAATTGAGCATTAAAGAAAGCATAGGGATACAGCTAATTGCATACAACTTTAGCAGCATATATATATATATATATTGTTCATGTTGTATAATGGTAATAATGTTCTACTATAACTTGTGCCAATCATGCTCTATGTATAGGTTGATGTTAGGTAAATTGGAGGATAGCTTGGTTATTAGAATGCATTAAACCAAAAATGTTAAAATCATTCAGTTTCCAAGCAAAAGCTATAATAATATGTGCAAGTTGATGCACAGTGGCTGGATTCTTTCAACAAAATAGACTCTATCGATATCAACCATAATTTATAAATTATCAAAGCCAAATTCGATCACAAAAGCTGGAAAAACAAACAAACAAAAATCAACGTAACTTTTCTATTTATTCTTAATTTGTATTCTTTTAAAGGAAAAACAGAACTTTTTGTTACAAGTTTTAGTTGGAGACAAAGTGAACACCACATGTTTTGATGAGTCTCTCTTGACTTTGTAATGCAGAGAGGTATGAATGATATTGATAGTGAGTTAAATAATACATCATTCAAGTTCAAGTCCGAAGCCACAATTCTAATTATAAAAACTTCTCCTGCACCAGATAACTTCTCAATATTTCTCCTACTTCTATGCATTATTGTATACAGGATACAGCCAGACAATTAACACACAAAAAAAACACTTGAAAAATGCATCAAATGAAAGATTCAAAACCGTGATAAAAAAAAACTAAGGTATATATGCACGTGTATTCTATAAAAGAGCAAACAATAATATTGAAAATAAAAAATAGTTAGTGGGGGTAAACTAACTCTATATATAAAAGATGCATAACCATTAATAGTTGGAAGGTGAAGCCACCACTTACCTGGAAAAAGATCAAAAGGCACAAGAAGAATTCGATCTCTCTTGTTGTTTTTTTTTTATATCCCTTTTTGCTCCAAAGATCTTTCACGTGATTGATTGATTGATTTATTTATAAAAGCCAAAAGGGATTTTTGAGAAAACTAGAAAAACAAGAACTAAAAGAAGAGATTTAAGAATTGAAGAAAAAGTACACGAGAGAGACACAGTTACAACCTCCCCTTTTTCTTTTAAGATTCACTATTCTTTTCTATGTTTAAAACCATAACAAACCTGAATAATGTCCAGGTTCACTGAATCACTCTCTCATAATTATCAATATATGAAACCCTAATAAGGTCCTGAGAAATTAGATTTTACTTTGAGAAACAGGGGCAAAAAAAACAACAACAAAGAAATAAAGAAGAGAAAAAAGAAGTAGTATTTCACAAAACGAGAGGAGATTTGCGATTTTATAAAATTTGATTATTATAAACGAAATAAAATGAAAATTACAAAGAGATAAATACATGAGAGGTGATGATAATGACATAAGTTATGGAAACTAAGCAAAAAAGAACAAGAAGTCCGAAGCGGTTCGATCACTTCTTATTACGAAAATGCCACTGGCTCAATGAAAACGAAAAGGTCAAAAGAAACGAACCGATGTTTTTGGGGGCTATAGTTGACTTTTAATATAGAAACTTGAATGTGGACAAAAAATGTGGCTAGGTTCGTCCGTGGTACATTAACCATTGACTACGTGTTCGTCACGCGTTAGTTATAGTGCTTAGCTGGCTACGACCTATTGGTTCTCCATGTTGGTTCACGGCCAGCCGCACACTAGTTCCTTTTTTTTTATTCGTCAACTATTTTCGTGTAATAGACGTACTGATTTTTTTTTCTAAACAACTGTTATATATACTCAGTATATATACTCATAACAGTATATATATACTCATATAGTCTCTGTTTCGATTTGTATACGCACGCGCGATTGAACTGAATAATAAGGCAACTAATTATTTGTTCAACTATATATCACGACATCTCAAGCGTAACTTGAGACGCATATATGCAAGTTGATAAAAACCAAAGTACCAAGAAATAAAAAAACATCATGGGATGTTGTAGGACCAACTGTTTTAGGATAATGACTTATGAGTATAATAATTATATGTTATATAAATGTATATCTGAAATCTGATACTAATTGGTTACGTTTCAAGCATTACAACTTACAAGCTGTTGTTATCATAGATTTTTGGAATGTGAGACGATACCCTAAGGACGACTAATAAGGCGATGATGAATGTGAAACGATGGTTTTGTATACGTGTAAACTAGTTTATCATAATCTTTAGCATGGCAATTCTTAGTCTTCTTCTTCTTCTTTTGACGTTATAAAACATTAGTTTGTTGCAATTTTTCATAGCATTCTTTGCTATGTTTTATGCATTCTTACGTGACATATATATATATATGTCACCTAAAATACTATAATTTTTTATTTAACTACTATTAACAGTATAACAAAAGGTATATTACATCCTACGATCGAAGATGATTAAGGATTGTGACAATCATGTCAGGAATTTTGGATAAATAAATCTATTACTTTGCCGACCAGAAAAAAATTAACCGATCGGCTATATCTATTTAATTATACTATAATAAACTGAACGTTTCAGATTATTCGGGGGCATATATATAATCAACTAAAAACTTTCTTCTTCTTGATTAGAACTATAGAAACGCAATACTTAAATTTTCAGGTGCCGCCCTAACAAGAATAAAATATCTAAGTCAACCGTTGAGAACAAATATATATTTATATACATGAGTTGTAATTGTATATTCATTTACATATGCAAATTAGTCCCCATGACAAAATGTTCGTATGAGTATATGTATGTTATCTTGGTTGGTTAGAACTCTCTTATATATAAACAAAAACATTATTGAGTACGTATAGTTTATTTGATTTTTACAAGCTATATAGGAAATTCATAAAAGAATATTGATTGGCAGATATCAACAAGACAACAACCAAGTAATATAATGAACCATTTGCACATAAACTATTAGAATAGATACTATACATCATCTTTACCGGACATAAATAATCATGTATGTAGAAATTATTGTGTACGTATGAATGAACTTTAACACAAATAAAGAAGAATAAATGATTACATGGTTTATACTTTATAATAATCGTTTTGTAACATTACTAAAAGCCAAAAGGATTCGGTGGGATAAATTTGTAAATCAAAAACAGAAGAAGTTCTTTATCGCAAAAGCAGAGATAAATAAAATATTTTATAGCTCTATAAAATAATGTGAAATCGGTTTTTATGACTAAAATTAAACGCATCAACCGAATGTGTTATTGTCTTATTGATGTTATGTTTTTAAGACTATATAGCATCTAATCCAATAAACTATTCAATCACATGTAGTTATCAAATACTCCACTAACTGTATTGAAGAATATGGTTTCCAAGGCACAGTCGATATGACGCGGCAACCCGTCGAATTTGCATTTTAGATAAAAGTAGAAAGTGTCATAATGTGTTATCTCGGTGAATAGATTCGTTTGGTGCAGAAAGATATCGTGAATGACTGGAACATCCGTGTGGCTAATATGGATTGGTGAAGTTTCATGACATGGCCATTCACAAACTAAGCCAACTTTAGTTCACACCGTAGAGACATGTGTATGACATGTAATGTAGCCCCCCTCAAACATTGGTTACCCGGTGTTACCATGAAAAGAGAAAAATCTAAACATGTAAAAAGAAGTTTTTGGACCCTGTGCTTGAGCACCTCCCTATTGCACATCTCATACTTTTCCAACTGTCCACATTGTTAGATCCACCCAGACAAACCAGAGATGGACACAGCCCCGCTTGGTACTGTCTTGGAAGATAGTCATCCGAGAGATCCTATTTCAACACTTTGTCCATGCATGTGACACCAATTGTTCTAGTTTACTAGTAAATAACACAATGCATCCGATCCGAAACATGGCACCGTCCAATATCTTTATTTTTTTTTTACCATATTAATAATTTCTCATATGTTATGTTTATTGATCCGCAAATTTCCACATTAAAAGAATTGGCTTTTTGGAGTTGCGTTGGACCGAAGAATCTCACGTACGAGTCTATGAGACTATGACTATGACCTGAGGGTAGCTAGTTTGGAGGTTTCTGGTGGTTGAAAATGAGTGTAGAAGTGAATAAGAGTGGTTCATAGTGGAAAGATAGAGAACATATATGACTCATGCTTCGATCATGACAATACGATTAATAGATTCCATTGGTTTTGATAATAGTAACAAAAAATTCCAGAACGGAAAGAAAAAAGTGGACCGAACATGCCCTATGACCACATCTCATCCGCTCAATTCCATATTCTTCCATAGAAAGATAAGGAGAAAAAAGAAAACCAAAAAGAAAAAAACAACAATACAAATCTTGAATAAT